AGTACCCTCTGCAAATCCTTGAAGATTTGACACCACACAACTGGGCCAGAGTTTTTTCTGGGGACAGGCTGCCAGGAGGAGGGAAGGAGGGAAAGTTGAAGAAAGGAAATCTCTACAGAGTTTCATTACCTTAAAGCTCTCTCCAGCTCTTCAGGCGAGCACATGGTCAAATGGCTGCCTTCAGTTAAGAGTTCTGTCTGCTCTGATGGACCCAGCCCAAAAGAGAGCTCCTCCTTGCTGTAGAGAGTTTTTGTCATCTCTCTTTTCCCCACCCACTGACCAGGTCAGGCCAGGTCAGAGAGGCTTTTTTGGAAGTCTCCAGAAATTTCCATTCTGAAGATTATACCTGGAGCCTTTCTAGTCCCAAATCTCTCTTCTCCGCTTGGGGAAGGGGGAGAGCTTGACCACCCATTATCTCTCCAACTAGATCTATTAGCATTTGTATGAAGGTATGTCTGGAAAGCAATCGAACTGTCTTCCTCCTTTCCTGCCTGTTCTCTGCCCAGAGAGAAAAAGAAAACTTTTAAAACTCAAAAGTGAAGGTTTTGCTTATTTCACACCTCCAAAGAGAAAATGCATTTCTTCACAGAGTACAATAGAACAGTTGGGTTTTCTACATAGGTTATTGGCTGAATTCTGTAGAACACCAGTTCCTGCCCAGCATATAGAAACTCACTGCTGTGCCTTAGCACAGCTTGTCAAGCATGGCTCAAAATGGAGCCAATTATAATTGCTCACTGAAGCATCCCCTTCATTGCTGTTTCTCAGCTGGAGATCAGTCCTAGATGGGTGTACGGAGGCTGGTCGGCTGAGCAGCAGCACTTTCTGACCTTATGGCCATTGTGGAGACAATATTTTCATCTTTCTACCATAATACAGCCATTGGCAAGACAGGCAGATTAACAGAGACATGTGGCAAAATGTGGAAGGTAACTAGATGGAAAAATTTGAAACACTCCATTATAAGGTCCTAGAAATGACCTAGCTCCAGTAGCTGTTAAGACAAATCTATATACAAACTTATTAGACATGGAATTTGCCACATCCTTAGCTAAACATATAAATAAAGGCATATCAGAAGAGTAGGATGGCATCTGACTGCTGAAATCAAGCAGCAGCAGGAAGGAGGATTAGGAAGGGCAGAAGTAAAATACTGTGATATCGTGACCCAGATTGGCTGATTAGACAAAACTGTTTGACTGAATACTGAGTGTTTCATCTATGCTGTATAGTTTATTAATATGGAGGGAATCTACCATGTTAATGTAATGTGAATGTAAATATGGAGAGGGAATGCACAAAGCATCCACCTGCCTCCTACGTTAAGATCCAAAATGCTCGTATGAATAATTTATTCCAGCTCTTGAATGATGTAATTGTTAATTCAATCACTATTGAGGCATGAAATGCAATGACATTTGTGTTACAGTAGTCCCTCTTGGTGAGATATAACCTCTAGTCAGAGGTATTTTGGGGTCAACCTGGTAACATTACCATTATGCAATTATTGTCATTACCAAGATGCCCACCAAATGATGGTAATATATATGAAAATGTGGTCTTAAAGATGGGCATTGAATGAGATTCAAAGTAGACATGGCTCGTCTGTTTAAACCCAGGTCTGCAACAATCATGGATAAACTGTTCTATTCTATACTGTTTTATAATATGCACAATGGCTTCACAAGAAAATAATTTTATGTTTAGTGGTAACAGGGTTTACAGTGACAGATACATAAATATGTAATTAGAAATGACACTATGAAATCTCTCTTCCATATGATGCTTTACTGGCAATGATCAATGACACTTATTTATATAACCTCATATGTGTCTTCTCTCTCTTTTGAAACGCAAAATGTCCTGGTTTGTTTGTTGAGCTGTTATTCTATAATACAAACACATCAATAAACATGAAATAACCCCAGCATGCTAATCACCCATAGGGTGTAACTTCTGATTTAAACAAAGTTAATCAGGTCAACTAAAACCTTTGATGCCTGCTTTGGAAATAAAGCACAGCCAATACCAAAAGCAGTAGCAAATAAATTGAAGGAAAATGGTTGATTTAAAAAACAAAAAACCAGAAGATTGGCATGGAAATATTTGTTCCAGTTGGGGGAGGGGGAACGCAGGCTATATGAAGCAATATCAACTGGTACCAAGAGGAGAGGAAAGTTCTTTTTAAACCCTATTGATTTACCAAGGAGAGCTATTCCTTCTGGTTTGGAACTGAAGCCAAAACAATGGAGGGTAATATCAAGCCATTCACACGTCTGGTTAGGTAGGCAGAAAGGATTTTTTTTAAAAATACTTCACATAAAGGAACACATTCTAATCTATTTTAATGCCTCTGCTTTTAGCCATCTGCTTTAAGATGTCTGTCTTTTTTAACCAGACGTCTAAAAGTGAAGTCATTATAAACCAAGGAGAAAAACCCATTATACTTGCATGGAAGAATAATATAAACTGGGATCCGAACGCATGAAACTCTTTTATACTGAATCAGACCACAAAGTCCGTACTGTCTGCTCAAACTAGCAGCAGATCTCCAGGGTCTCAGGCAGAGGTCTTTCACGTCACTTACTACTCGTTCCTGTTATCTAGAGATGCCAGGAATTGAACTTGGGACTTTCTCCATGCTAAGCAGATGACCTACCACTGAGCTATAGCCCCTTCCATTTCTAGAAAAACAATTTTAATACATGATGATGCAAAGTCCTTCAAACATTAAAGAACCCCCAAAGACTTGAAAATGTACAGGCTTGTGCAACCCTACAAAATATTACAAGTCAACAGATCTAAACAAGATTGGTTTTAAACAAATCAGACAAATGTTTTCAGTCATTCTTTTGGAACCCTGACCCATGTCTCCTGCCTTAACTGCCTTCTTATATCAGCTGTCTCTTAAACTTCTTCTCTTAGATCATGTACAACTGTAATCCATTTCTATGACTATACTGATGAGATTTTCACAGAACTCTCCACACCTTCAAAATGTGCTTCTTCTTCACCAGTTTCAGAATGCCATTCAGGTATGCTTTACACAGGCATCAGAATGGGGTGGTACCGCCTTGACATGATAGAACTGACTGTGCCACTTTAAACTGCTGGGGGGGGGGGTTACATTTATGAATGCTCCCATTAGGAGGCACCTGAGATGAGAATATAGCTGAGGAGGAAGACACAGGCGGGGTCCCAAAAGAATGAGCAGAGACTGTGGCAGACTGATTTGTTTAATATCAATGATGTTTAAAACTGTTGACATGCCATCTTTAGCACAAAATATTTAGTATAAAATTACATGAAATACAGAAAACATATGTAGAGCAGGGATCAGGCAGAATTAAAATTTTGTCCATAATTTCTTAGATTGCAGGGATCTTTTTTTTAAAATATATGAGAACATACGAAAAGCTCTACTGGATCAGACCAGTGGTCCATCTAGTCCAGCATCCCGTCTCAACCAGTTCCTCTGGAGGTCCAGCAACAGGGCATAGAGTCTGTCTTCCCCTGATGTTGCCTCCTGGCAGTGATATTCAGAGGTTTACTGCCTCTGAATGTGGAGGTTCCCTTTATTCACCATGACTATAGACTTGAAGACTTACCCTCCATGAATCTGTCCAGTCCCTTTTTAAAACTGTCTATGCTTGTGGCCATCCTATATCCTCTGCCAGTGAATTCCATTGTAAATAAATATTTCCTTTTACTGTCCTCAATCTACTGCCCATCAGCTTCATTGGATACTTTTAAGTCCAGTATATTGAGAGAGGGAGAAAAAGTTCT